TCACCCACCATGTTATTCCACACAGTATTCCACGTGCTTCTGCTCATTGTCCCCAGGCTCTGTTGCTGGGTGTGGTTCCACGAGAGCTGACTGCTCTCCAGTACCCACAGGAAGTGACCATGTGTGAGCCTTGGCAGTGAATGTCAGCATCACTCGACTGAAGAGGGTGTCTCAGCCATATCGATCCTCTCCTCAGCCTGCGGCTACACACGTGCACAGCCAGTAGAGGGTGACTTAGCTTTAGAGGGTCCACCAGCAGAAGGCCTCCCTGGTTACTAACCTTAACTCTTGGAAACCAAATTGGCCTCCTCAGCACATGGCAGGCTCATTGTGTGAGCTGCAGCTGTATCTACCAGACCTTCGGAACTGGCCTGCTGAATATATTTTCGATTCAAAATGCACAGTGATGTTTGCTGGGCAAGTGTTGGCGATCATTCCTGACAGCAGCTCAGTCACGTCCAGTGAAATGAAGCAGACTCTTTTGGGGTTGACTCGTAACCCGTGATGAGCCATTCATATTGAGAGGCTGTTCTCTATATTATGTACGTACAATGCAAAAGTAGCCATATAAACACTGGAACCACAAATAAATCCTGTGAGAAGCTGGCGCTGTGACCGGATTTGTGATGAAACCCTTCTGGTGTATCATGTCAGCTTCACCATGTTTGTGGAACTCTTGTTCGTTATTTAAAAGACAGCCAGGCTTTGATGGTAAAACTGCCCTTTACCCAGCAATCTTCCATCTCTTCTGCTTGAATATATTGAATGTATTGAATACTATGTCTGCAAATGCAAATTGGAAATGACAAGCGCTGCCACGGCACATTGTTAGGCTGCGGTAAGATCTTTTCAGAAATGAGCTATCTTTAGGCATCTTTAGGACAGGAATTTTTTTAAAAAAAAGAAAGTTGGCACAAAATTCGATGCAAGTTGAGATCTGTACAGATGAATCCAATTTAGCTCAATGTTGGTTAGTTGATACTCAGTGGGAGCAAGGAGATGTCATTACATCTTGTGAGCTGGAGATTAGTCTGTGCACACTATTGATGTCTTCAGAAATGACACTATGAAACAGATGAGAATAGAGCACAGAATAAATGATCTGATGCTACACCCTCTTCACTGAGGAAACTGAATCCATGCAAGAATCTGGTTATGAACAGCTCTTTTAGTTGAAGTACAGCTGAGGGAAAAAAAAGACTCAACAATGAACAGAAACAAAATTAGAAAAGATAGCAGATGAAAAGTCAAATTTTTACTGTTTGCCCAATTGGTGCTGGTTTCGCCCACAAACTATACAGTCAATTCACTTTGGAGTATATTCTGTGATGCACTTTGAGACGTTTTCAATGACTTGATAGGGTGCTACATCAAATGCACATCTATATCTCCCTAATGGGTTGCTGGTATAGTATTCGAACAAGTGCTGGGATATTTTTAGGGAGCTAGGAAAATAGGAACAGGAAGAGGCCGTTAATTCCATTGAACCTGCTCCACCGATTCATTAGATCTTAGCAGATCTTTTAATACAATGCTTGCTCTTTCTCCATATGCCTTAAATCCATCTCCATAACCCCTAATATCTCTTTTTTTGCATGAGATTTGAAAATAATTAAATCATTTTTTAAAAAAGTCATGGTTCTGTGGATTTTCCATAACTGACGTGTACCACTGTACAAAACGATGACTAACAAAATCTTTGAAATTTCAAAGTTTCAGTAAATACCAAACCTTTGATGTTGTTAAGGTGTTTTTGGTGGGGCCAATGTTACAAAGCGGCAAACTCCCCAACTCGCGCAGTCAGTATGAATGTCAGATGAAATTTCAAAGCTTTTGATGTATGGACCAGCCATAGCTTTGATGGTAGGGAGATGGGAAGGGAGGAGAGAGAGACAGAGAGAAAATCCAACCTTTTCACTTCCTGAATCCTACTAAAAACATGAATGAAGCAGAGAGAAATGTGGCTGGTCACATGAGCAACCTTCTTAATGGGACCATCTCTGTGGTAGTCAAACCATCCCTTCCATCAGTATCTTCATATTAATAGGAAGCTTTTGGTAAGATTTAATTCCTGAAACTGCTTTGAAGAATTCACAAATACTCCATCATCTTCGAAAGAGTCAAACAGCCATGATCCAGTGATTACTTTTATCAAACATTTAAGAAATTAAAGTTTTACTTACAGTAAAACAATAAAAACACTTAGTGGCAGATCTGACTACATTGGCATGCTGGTTATAGTACTTGGTGAACTTCCATAATAAGTACTTCAGATTCTTCAGTGGGACAAGAGGACACGGGTTCAGGTCTTCGAAGGGCAAATTTAGGACAACAGAAACTATTTATTTGTATGGAGGGGAATGGAAAGGGAAAGGGTTACACTGGGACACTACAGGACCCATGTTTAACAAGCAGCTTGGTGCTGTAATGGAAAGACAAGATGGATTAATTTGGGGAGGATGAGACCAATGGGTAAAAGGATGGTCCTTATCCATATTTTGTGATCTGTTTGTGGTTAAAATGAAGTATGTTGTAAGATCATTTACCCTCATAGCTCTGTGATTTTTTTAAAAAAGTGATGACATTTGGGCAACATGCACATGGGTTCCCCAGTGGCAGTGCGTAAGCTGTATGAAGCATCACCGTGCTCGCTTGAGAGGAGAGGACACCCACATCCTGCACCTCTGACCCGCTGACATCGCTTCTGTCAGCACCTATAAAAGGCGGCAGAAGAAGACACTACCAGATGTGTATGTGCCGATTCTGATCAATGGTGAGTTCAAAGTGCCCAGATCTAAAACCATTAGCCAGTCTCCAGCAGCAGGTTTACATTAGGTGAGAAACTGCACCAATGAGTTACTAGGATTGAAAGTAACAGGAGGTTATGGAAAAATTCAATCAAACAATCACGCCAGCTTTACTTCACTTGTTTATAGAGAACGTAATCAGTTCTCCTTATCAAGGGTCACAGCATCTGGTCAACGACATGTAAATTAAACCATTGTGTTTCTCTTTAAAGTACTGCCATCTGCTAATCCAGTAATGGATCCATTGCAACTCTGCCAAATTGTTGCATTTAAGAGGCTGCAACAACCACCCTCATTTAAACTGCCCCAATAAATTAAGTAGGTCTCCATTAAAATATTTAGGGAATGAACCTGCCTCAGTAAATGCTCTCTATAATCGGTTTTAATGCAATAAGGAGCAAAGTCATCCCAGATTTTCCCCTGGCACAGCCACCTTCCATTTAATGGTTTTCCAGATCCCAGTTTAAGCGATAATTTCTTTAGCATTGTTACAAAGAGCCAGTAGAATAGCTGCATGAATGAATCCTGTCTATTTTGCTACCAGAAGTCATCTGTATTATATAAGCATAATTATAATCCTGTGTGGACATTCATATGCATACGGAGCTGGATGTGAGTTAGCGCTGAATTCACTTGGTTAAAACTACAAAAGGCAAAGATCCCAGAACCACATCATTGTTGCCGTATGGATAGAATGATAAGATTCTTTCACAGGGCAAACTAATTAGTGGCATTCTAAAAGACGCTGGGTTTAAATTGCTGGCAAGCTCATTAAACGTTTCCCAGTGGATGTGCTCCCGTTGACTGAGGCAAAATAATTATCCTGCTGTTCACCAAGTTACAAAGTTGACATCTGAATAATACTGCGTGGAAATATTGAGGATAAGCAGCGATAGAAAAACTTATATTAGTTTGACAAAAATCGAGGCTAATAATTCACAGTCTTCTTCCTGTGTACAGTGAACGTGAACTAACCAATCCTTCTCCATTGTACAATAAAATGCCAATTTGCAAAACTTTGTTCAGCAAAGCGTGGGACAATTTAAACTACAATCCTTTACTTGAGCGTTTTAATATTTCAAATTGTGGTGCAGGGTCCATTTAGATGGGGCAATTGCAGGCAGGACAATGCCAGCAAGTGTCCACACGGTGGGGTGAGAGGAGCTGAGAAGCAGAAGCTTAGCACACAGTTTAATTGTGACAGACGGAGATTTGGCAGTGGTTGCTGGAGTTTCAATTACATTTCTCCAAATTGCCCAGATTCAAATTTAAATGGGATTAGCACAAAGATTATACAGCTGTGACAGTCCAGCAGTGGCACAGGAGCAGCCAGAAAGGTAGGGGGATGTAGGGGTTGGTGGGGGGTGTAGGATTGATTCCCCAACACTGCCAACTTCCCAGTATCAGGCACACTGCTGAGAGGAGGCCTGCGTTTGGCAATGGTAAAAGAGGTTCAAAAAACAGAGGGTATCTTATCCATAGGTTGCAAGTTGAGCGGGTAACATGAGTTGTATTAGATGGATGTAGAAGAACAGCTTGTGTGTCACCCTCTTATTTCAACCTTGAACGATTTTTCATCTAAAATCCTTAATGGCAATAACTCTTACCCATTTTCTCCAGCGTAGGTGAATCTGCCCTGCAAGACTTTAAAAAGCCATAAAGACCACAGAACAAACCTAATGTTATTCGGATTTAGGTCTCGCAATTATGTTGGCAATTGCCCGACAACTGAGGTAGAACAGGACTGGTGGGATAACGGAGATCAATATCAGAGAAAGGTTTGAAATCATCAGGAGCTCCCAGTGGAGTATCTGAAGATTTGCTGATGATTAACTCATTGAGTATACCGGCCAGGAATCCATGAAGCTCATCAGAACCACGACTGCTGGATTAGAATGACAAGCAGTTTCAGGACTATAGCAGGAACCATCTCGCCAAGATGTGAGCAGCTGTACTGACCGCTAGGTCACTTAAGATGGTCTAAAGATCAATACACTGAGAATCATGAATACGGAGTCTGGAATAGAAATTAAATCCAGAATTGGCAGTAGCCTCCGTGAAGCGAAGGAGAAAAGGCCGCCATTATGGACAACTGATAAAAACGCATTAGAAGGACCAAGGAAATCCATCTTGATAATCAAATAGTTACTCTTCAGCTGAAGTCATGTTCTTCCCTCTCTGTCCCCATCTTACCTTGAACATCAGAGAGTCGTCCTGCTGTTCTGCATACATTGACGTCAGCCTGTACTGGTTCTCTGTTGTCACATCAATCTGATAACCCGTCAGGGTATAGCAGACGGCCCGGAATTCCTGAATCTTCTTATGAAAAATCTCCTTCAGCCGCTGGTTCTTCAGCTCTGCACTGTCCACTTGTTTCCGCAGTTCTGAATATAAAACACGGCACATTAATTCAAGTCTTGTACATCTGGCTTGAATGAATTTCTGGTGCCTTCCATCATTATCTACATTGATCTCGTACTTCTGTAACCTAGAGCTGTATTACGGTATGTAAGATATGATAGAAAATGGTACTTTGCAATTGGTGTCAGTGATATCTGGAATTGTCACTTCAATTACTGTCAGTGTCACACACTGAGCGGGACAATTCTGCAGTAGAATATTCAGATTATTTTTGATCTTCATTGTACCAGAATTCTAAACTAGAAATTGTCCATTCACCCGAAAGAAAAAGTTATGACACAACTTTTATGAAAGAACATTAAAGAAATAAAACTCATCCAGTAGTCAGCCCCTAAGACATTAAAAATCTGTCCACGTCAATATTTGAGCACGGAGGATGAGGCCGCCAGTGGATCACAGGTGGTTTGGAGTGTGGATCAGGGATTCTAATTAAAACAAGGAACAACTGGAGGAATCTGTCGACAACAGGGTTGTGGGCCAGCTCAGGCAGCTGCGAAAGTATTTGCTTCATAACGCTTGCATTTGATATAACATCCATAAAATTAAAACATCTAAAGCCCTTCACAGCTAATTTGATGGAGCATTAATGTGCCAGGCACACTCTACATTGCAAACCACTCAGTTCCCTATCTTGACCACCTTGCTGAGAGTGACCAGTGGGCAGAGCTTCTCAGACATAGTTCCCTGATACCTAAAGATGATAATTTGAGCTGAAAAGAGTTGGCCTGAAGGAAAATCATGTGCATTTCTAGTAGATATTATGTATCTTTATAATTTTAATAGTTTATTATTATATCTTTAGAAGCTCGGCAGTAGACCATCAGATGAACAGATCAGCTAGGAGCAGAGCCTCTGAGAGCAAATCATCTGGCTTGTTCCTTCACCCATGAATTTATATGTGCATCGAGTACTGCAAGTACGTATATAAATATAAATGCACTTTCCTCAATTGCTCTGCCCATATTTGGAAAAAAATTACACACATGTTTCGCCCACAAAATATACAGTCAATTCACTTCACAGTGTATCCTGTGAAGCGCTTTGAGACGTCTTGTGATAAGGCGCTGTACCAAATGCAGGGATTATTAGTAGTAGTATTAACACTTCACCAGGTATTCTGTGGGAGTACAATCACAGGCCTGTGTCAGTATTAACTGCAGGGCTGTATTTCACCAGGGTCCTCATCTCATTAAGGAAGCTGCACATGATTAATCTGCTTGCCAGAAGCACTGTTTCACTGGTTTACAATATCATGTCAGCAATGATGGGCAATCTGACAACATTTTCCAAACTTGTCAACAAATTGAGAAACACTCAAATGTGACAGAAAATGCAGCCTTTTGTGTTTGTATCTATCACGTCAGTTAAGGAAGTCAGATTAGGTGGATTTATATAAAATATGAACAATTTCCTTACTGGAAAATAGTTTTTCTTTTTAAAAGAAAAGCGACTTTGTGGCTGGTCTTCATGAACAAAATGATCATCACAGCAAATCCTCGAGTGAGATTGCAATAAAACCCAACAGACTGAGCCTGGCTGGAGGTGGGGGGGGAAGGGGGTGAAATGGCAGGATGGAGTGAGTGATTTAAACCCCATCTTTTACTTTGTTCTTTACTGTCATGCAACTGAGGAAGATTGATGCCATTTTCACATGATTGATAGCTTGTACAATACTTGCGTTTATGATATCCTAATGCTATGAGGGTGCGCAGATAAGCTAGAGTTCTTCTGCCAAAGACACATACATCAGAGGTCAGTTTACAGAGGACAATTAGATTGAAATAAAGTAAACCAGATGTGGCAGGACAAGAGGGGACAGATGCAAAGCTATGGTTAACACCAAAGGGTTCTACACAGAGGGTGATCACCAGATGAGATGGCAAAGGTCACCTGGAGAGGGGTTAGATGACGTAAAGGCAATGGTCTCATTTAAGAAACAGCTTGATGCTGCAATGTATTGGTGGTCTGGAAGGTTTAGATTACAGCAACAACAAAATTACATTTGTATAACGCTTTTCACGTCGGGAGGATGTCCCAAAGCGCTTCACAGAACACACTGTAAAGTGAATTGACTGTATATTTGTGGGCGAATGCAGCAGCCAATTGCGCACAGCAAGGTCCCACAAACAGTCGTAGATTGAAAATGACCAATTTATTATTGTTTTTGGTTTTGGAGGGATTATTATTAGGTGTGTGGAGTAAGGAAACTTGCCCAAGGTTTCGCCCTCTGCCTGGAATTGAACTCAGGTCTCTCGCTTGCAAAGTGAGTGCTCTAACCACTGAGCTACAGGACTCCACAAGATCTGAGTTGAGGGTAGGGGAGGGTGGAGGGCGGGGGGTAGGGGGAGGTGGAGGATGATCGAAGGCACGATCGAAGAGGATTAAATTGTTTAAGAGCCTTCTTCATCCAAACCTCTCTTCGGATCCCTTTCCGCCGAATGGAGCCCCCAAATTTTTTACAGCTATTCATGAAGGGCATTTGGAATTAAAAAAACTACTCTTGTTATGCACACAGACACTTGCTGAAAGCACATTTATACCAAAGAACATTCAACTAATTGACCTTAAGTAGCTTATCTCAGTACAATAACACACAAGATGTGTTTCACATGCTAATCGATGCAGTTTGAGATGGTTCAGTTACTGCAGATGAGACCACCTGATCAGAGCTACTGTCAAGCATGCGGAACCCAGTGCATCTGGTCGATAGTGTAAATTGGGTAACTGCAATTACATTAGAAATAATGAGTACTGAAAGAAAGCATTACTCACCAGCATTCAGCACAGTGATTCAATAGTTAATCAATCTGATGTCCAGACCTTCTAAATTTTTAACACATCTCATTACAGTAAATATTTTAGCCTTTATTAGCTTCTCTCCTGTAAAGAGACTTTTCATCTTGACCCTTTGCTCTGTCGCATGCATTTCTTTCTGCTAAACAGCCCTGCTGCCATCTCTAAATGGTACATTTCCTGCTACATTTCCATCAGTTTCAGAAGCTAGTTACCAATGTGAACCTGGATGTTTTGTAAGCCATTTTTACTGTTGCATCTGTACCCAAGTGGGCTGGCGCTATTAAGATGAAAAGGTGCAGCATAACTGGAATAATACCGGAATGCTCAGATGTATAGGCTTAAGAGAGGGGTCATTACGGCCATGTTCAAACTGGGGCTTACGACAGCACATGTTGCTAATCTGAGTGTTTGTCTCAGAGTGAGTGGTCGACAGGTGTGAAGACTCCGCTAAGCTGGGCTATAGCACTTTTAAAACTTCCCGAAATATTCCCTGTAACGGCAAATGCCTCGCAAACATCTGAATCTGTCCCGTCTGCCAGCGCTCTTTCTGAACGAACGAATGCGATATGCCCACTGGGCATATCTGTTGAACTAAAGAAACGCTATTTATGAGCTAAATTGGGCATTTTACAAGAAATCACAACTTTACATCCTGTTGAGACGTGTGCAGGGGCATCCTGGGATGTTTTCGGAAGCAGGTCCCTGTGGGAAAACATGTTCAACAAATCATGGCTCTCACTCAGCAAGTGAGTCCTTCCAGCTGCAGAGATTTTGACCCAACCTTCACTCAGGTTCGAAATCTGAACTGCGCCTCCTTACACAAGCTCAGAACTCGTGGCCAACTCGATCACTTCTACACTTTACTTAACCTTTCACCTGTTTAATTTCTGTGAATTTCCTATGAATGCCTTATATCGTTGAGAGGCAATGCACTTCCAGCTTGCAGTTTCAGTTTCTACTGGCCATTCGCACAAATGCACTTAGAACAGGAATAAAAAGAGAGACAGAGAGAAAGAGAAAGAGAGAAGGCTGAAAATCTACAGCAGCTCAATCAGCATCTGAGGGAGAAAGACAAGTAAAGATTCTGGGGAGAACCCAGTCTGATAAAGGGTCATATCTGAAACAATAATTTGTGAACTCTGTTGCTGGTTGACCTGCTGTGCATTTCTAGCTTTTTCTGGCTTTAAGTTATATTTCAAGCATCTGCTTTTTCTCTATTGGATCCTGCATTAAACCAAGTTTCCTGCTGGAGGGTCATGTTTCGCTCACTACACTTTAGAGTATATTCTGTGAAGCGCTTTGAGACGCCTCGAAGATGTGATAAGGCGCTGTATCAAATGCAAGGATTATTATTAGGAGGATCATTAAACATCTGCGCTTATTTCTTAACAGCAAAATTATTCAGATCAATAAGCAAATAAATCCAAGCAATAGTAATTAGATAAAATTGAACTGCAGTTTCAAAGTCAAGATGAGAAATGCAGCATCCACATTTTTAACAAGTTAAAATTAAAGAATCATTTTATATTAGTCAAGTTGAAATTTTGAATAATCACTCATTTCTAAAGATTTCTTCTGGGGAAAAAATAATCTTTTCTCAAGGACATAATGGTTTTAACAGCCGCAAATTAATTAGGATTTAATTTTTCATAATGGCTAGTTACAGAAATGAAAATTGGACCCAAATGAATGGTAATTATGTTATATTTCTGATAAGTATCTTAACACCATCAACTCTGCAAACATTTAAATCTTCTTAAGTAAATAATCTGTTTGCAAAAAACATGTTGTGACCTATATTGGGTAATCAACATTAGCACAAATTCCTAATTATTACTATATTCTGTGCCTTTTAAAGTACTGCTTGCATACTCCTTCCCGACTGGAGTGTAGTGGTTAGTGCACTTGCCTCGCAAGCGAGAGGACCTGGTGGGGCAAAATCTTAAGCAAGAAATGGTACGACACAGTCACTAACGCTCTTCTAAGTCTAGATGATGATGCTTTTAAAGGAAGAACACAGACACAGCTTGACGCTGAAACGAACCAACGCTGTACATAACCTGGCATTGCTTGAAGCTGAAAATAGGTGACAAAACCTCATTGACCTCAGTGACCACAACGAGCACGGTTATCCAAATTTTAAAAGCTTAGTACGATTATAAAAACA